GAGGGAAGTAGGCGAGATGCTACACTAACGTTTCCAAAACCCGGATGACCCTTTCTTATACAAGGGGAAAGGATGAGGAGGGGGGGGGGGGTCTAGATGTTATGTGGGTGCGAAAATGGGTTTTGGAGGGCTCAGTGAATAAATGGTTGCAGCACCAACAGCGAGGATCGCGCGTAGGTGGTCTGCGGGGATGGCTATTCCAGGACACACCGTGCAGCTTTAAAAACGTGGTTGTCGGGGGCTAGCAGAACGATCGAAGCGGACGGCTACAACGAATGGGGGGCGGCTGAACGATAGGGGGTATGAAGCGCAGACAGGGATCAGAAAGCAAATAGTAGGATGGTTAATTACGAAAACCTTTCCCCACGAACCCGTTGCTCGGTAACGTACGGAACGAAGGAAAAGACGATGTCAAAACAAAATTTATACTATTGATATCTGTTTGGTTTATAGAGGCGCTCTTGTTTCCCCTGAGCGGTTAGATTAGAATTGCAAGGCAATCAAGAGCTTATGGGAAGGTGAGAGACAAGGACAGAGGTAACGAGCAAGCGAATGAATGAGAGTGAGGGGCAAAGGAGAGGGCAGGGGATATCCATTTACCTACCTACCCCAGAGAGAGAGAGGGAAAACTTCCACAGTCTGTATCTATTGGGTACACATATCTAACTAGCTATTGCTAGGAACATGGGGGGCGCAACAGTACTTGTCGGCGCCAAAGTGTGTGAATACCAGCGCGCGGGAACACTTCTTTGTGAATATATATGAATTGATCGACAACAGCTGATTGGCACTTTGCATCCAAGGAGACAAATCAGGTTAGACACATGTTGTTGCTCATTGCGCAACCCTCGCTATCACTGGTTTTGTGAGCCACCACCGAATGAGCCGGGTATTTTTGTGGTGTGCTTACAATACCGCGCGCCTACACTAATAACGGTAACGAACCAATGCGCGCGGTGCTGGTGCTGCATACATACATGCTTGATCTGGGCTCGCTTCCTCACTCTACATACTCTACCTGAATAATTAATTTCTTTTCTTTTCGTGAGTGCATGGGTTGGTGAATTTCAATAACTGACGTTGTACTGATGGGAGAGCAAAAATCTTCTGCATGCCAGCACAAATGGAAGAGATATCATTACTCTAGGCGGAATTACTACCTGCCGGTCCGGTCACATTCGTCGTACAGTATACATATTGATTTGTACCACCGCGACAAGTAGCTACATGTACATACGTACAGTCTATGGTGCCTAAGTGGGAAACAAACCAAGAACTTGAGGATAGCAGTTCAAGGAAACATATGTCATGTGTACTCACACGCAAAAACAATGCAGCTACTCTATACCCGATGGATTATCTATTCTTTACTATGCTAGGCTTTTTCATGATCGCTTTTGCATCAACGCCTCTAGCCAATCTGGTCTACCAAGATAGCTCAACGCCGCCTGCTTGAGTCTCGCTTCATACTGTGCCGTATGCACTTTTTCGAGCCTCATAAGGACACACCATCATCATATGGGCAGAGTAAGAATTGTGATTCAAACCTTACTACGGCCTTCACCAATAGCAGCAGTAGCCCGAGTGCGTAATATGCAATGGAAATCACATATAAGGATTCATCGGAACCGAACAGTGACTGAAACAAGCGACTGACCCGCTTGAATGGGTAGGAAGGGGCCAAACAAAACACGTGGGCACCGACTTCCTCATGCTACTAGCACGGATCTATCTTTTAAGCGTTCGAGAGCACGGTATACGGTGATTCAAAGATACTTGACTTGATCAAGATCCACGGTCTTGCGCGCTGATCATGATTGAGCGCGTATGCACTGGGAGAAACCATATGCACTTGCGGGGGGGGGGGGGGGTCAGCAGCACTGCAACAACTACTGTTCCTCATATCGCGCGGTATGTGAATGCACTTGGGCCTCCCGGGGGGGGGGGGGGGGGGGGGGGTGGGGGTACTGCAACAGCTATGGTTTCCTCATATCGCGCGGTATTTTATTTTTATTTTTTAAGGAATACATTTTTAGGCCACCGGCGGCCTTCTTCTCCATTCAAACATTTGAGGATGGTAGCCTGGATCCGGGGCGATTCCCAACAAATTTCTAGAGAAAACCTGGCGAATATATCTTCTTTTATCGGCAGGTTTACTCTAGCTATGTATACTGCTGCCTTGGGCTTAAATATATCAGCTGTCAAACTTTGTTGTAACGTGAATTTCCTATAACTTGTGGTCGCACAGGTTCACAGCCAAACAAAGACGCTTAATTTATGTGTTTAGTTGTTATTAGCTTAGACGGAAGAGTCGGAATCAAGAGTTTCATTTTGCCCGCGCTGCTCTGGATTACCTGGGAGAAACAAGTACAGTATGACTACTATTTAAAATTGCGTTCCATGCCAGTGCAGTGTTGGGGCGGAGGTAAGAAGAGATACGTTGATCCACTACGTTATCAGTTGAAATCGGTATATGACTTGTAGTTCTTGAAAGTGTAAGTCTTGAGCGTTTAAACCGTATGTACCCTAGGCCTCTAGGTATGATTATCATCGGTTCGAAGGTAGCTGGGGCCAGGGATTTCAATAATGAGATTTCGAGAACTGGTGTAGCAAAAGTCGGCTATGAAAACCGATTTGTACGTGCAACGGCAGTTCACGATGATTGATAGATGTTTCTCTCTCTCACCTACTTCAACTTCCTTGGCTTCTAATAAAGGCCCGCGGTGAGACTAGGCCATGATATGTCTGTCCCAATCTGTCAATAGTGACCGTTTCTGGCACAGCAATTATTGCACTGGCCACCATTTTGGCCCCCACGACACACGATCAGCATATCTTGACGGATTAAGGGATAGTTAGCTTGGCGCTCATGCCCCTAACTTATGCAGGTAAATATATATAGGTTTCTGAATCATTTTTTATTGTAATGACATTTCCACGCTAGAATGGGCGTTTATTTAGAGTACATACATGTATGTAATGTCTTTTATGGTTAACCGGGTATTATTTAGACTAACTCGACCTAGCTGCGTAGTGATAAATGACTGCCGGCCTCGAAGAAAGAACAAAAATTCATTTTCTAACTAAATTCCTTGCTGCTATTCAACAACCTGAGGATCTGAATATTAGCAGTGATCGATCAGTGGTTCGATACGGATTTCCTTGTCAGCGGGTGTATGACTTAGGTCAAGTGATGAAGCTGTTTATCTGAGGCTTTATGAAAATCCCTGGACCACACCCCCTGCTGCGCTTCGTTAAGAGTCCATGAGGTCAAATTTTGTCATTTCAAAAGAAAGAAAAATACATGTTAAGATTCCTAAACATACCGGTTTTTTTTTTTTTTTTTTTGTTTAACTCTAAGCATACCGGTTGTCTCTTAAGGATATTCACCAAAGACCCTCAACCTCAATATAGAATGGTCATCTATACCAAGCAGCAGTATTTTCTGGAAAAGGGCCGCCCGATCAAGCAGGCTAAACGCTTAAATCGGTTTAATGTAACGTCCTATACGGATATTTCAATCAGGTCTAAGGATTTCTCATAGCTCACTATTTCGTAGGAGGTTGATAGCATAAGGTACCTACGTGTATATGCCTCTACCCGCCCAGAGAAAGTAATACATAATAGGCCGCCTACATACGCACATAACCTTTACTGCCACATTACACAAGCACACAACAATCATTCTCGGCCCGGCTTTGTAACTATAGACCTGATCACAGCATATCACTCGCCCACAGCTCCAAAGCCAACGGCCAACCAAATTATCCGTGGCTCTGCAGAAGAAAAAAAAGGAATCATATCAATGTCAAGCGGTTAGCTTAGCAAAAGCAATTCTGATTGCACTGAGCGATCCCACGGCGGGTAAATTTTTCACATGCTGTGCCGCTGCTCTGCTGAGAAAAGAGAAAAGGTACCAATAGAAACGATTGATCGGAACCGAACATTGATAGCCGATCTTCCAGAGACCTCCCTTCGAGAGGTCCAGCCCTAACACTTGCGTCACGAATATTCCCACACCAGCGGTTTTGGCTAGATAACTAGCTAGCTGAGGGCACGAGCTTCTGATCTGATGAGCTGCATACTGCACTGGGCGGACCCACGGGCGGGGTAGGGGCATTTCTGATAGTTTGGGTAGAGAGCTGTCTTTTTTTTTTTTTTTTTTTTTTCCCTTCTCAATACTGCCACATCATCATGGGTGGTTATTTTGATCTTTTCTCCTGGCCAAACGAAATGGAGTGTGAGCAAGGCCTCTAGCTTTGATCAATCATAATTATTGACGAGCCGCCGGGCCCTCTTTTTTTTTTCTTTTCCTCTCCTTCGAAAAAAGGGGACGTCATGTGATCACGGCGGCACCGTGCATATGTGGTGATGCAACTTTTGAGGGTATCAGATATGCAGCCTGAAAATCTCTCGTGAGAAACATTTTCTTTGATGTGCCTCTAAATGTTGGGATGGTGTGCTGGGTATTGCTGCATACTAATGGGATTGGGAACATAAAATTGAGGGGTTAATGCTACTATGATGGATCAATGTTTCCTGAGGTTATCGTATTTTGTGAATGATTACTTATGATTCACCACTACTTGATGTATACTTGAATATTGGTACACAATATCTTAGAATTAAGCTTTCGAATTTCGCGAGTACTGCAATTGAATTGCTTGCTATATAGTCCCAAAAACCTGGGTTCTGTAGTGTTAAGTATATACCAAACATAAAGATAAAATATCTATGTCGATCGTATATATGCTGTAAGGATACTCTCGTTGCACACCCGTTTGAAAAATTAAACAAAGAGATCTCACCGGGAAGCAACTACACGTAGTAGCCCCACTGATCCTAAATTCGCCTCAAGCAGACTTAAACTGGCATTGCGACAAGAATAGCCTTACAGTCAATTCCCGCTATACATATTAGGAAAATAAGTATCCATAGCCTCCCTGGCCAAACCTTCAAAAAGAAAATGAGGAGGCTTAGACACCTGCACCTACTTAGAGTGATTTCGCCCGGGTTCGAACCGGGGACCACAAGTGAAACCAATGTTAGACTTGTGTGATAACCAACTACACCACGAAACCATTGACAAGGATCTTTTGCTAACTTTTTTGACAAACACCTGTCTCTCTGCTTTAAACAAGGATGTACAGCGATGGGTAATAAGTCATCGGACGGAACGCCACCAAAATACGCGTTTGCAGGCAAAATTGTGGCTAGGTCATCTAATGACTTATTACCTACTACTGTACAAGGCTCCGGTATTTAATGAATGAACGGACCCTCACATGTTAGCACCCCATGTAGTTCGCTCACTTAATGCTAGCTAGAGCCTTGTAAGTCGCAGGAGTTTCAATTGAGAAGTATGCGCCTAACCTCAGCTAGATAGACATTTGAACAGCACCAGCTATCACTCGGTCATGCGACAGAAAAGAAAAACAATCGTCTGAGTCCAACCGATGATAGCGCCAAGGAGCGAAATCTTGCCAAGAGAAACGTCAATGTGTCCGAGTGATAATTTATGTTTTGAGAGCTGGGCCCTATTATTTTCTTCGAGATTTCATGGTGTTTATGTATTGAAATTTATTGTCACAATGAATTGGCATAGTATAATAATCTGAAGGAGGTCCAGAGGTGATCATGATCTTTATTTCGATTTCGAGAGTTGGTGCCTGGGGATAGTATAATATCTGTCACAAATGGCTATATATCCTTCTCAAAGAACTTTGTAAAGTAGCCAGATAAAAGGGCTAAATCATAGACTTAGGCCTCCATTTAACATAAGGATGCCCGGTAGAATAAGGAACTAAATGGTCAATCATTGCCGTATTGACAAATCCCGGATGGACCTGTGATAAGTTTGTTACACCGCACATCCTCATTGTCGTCTCCAATTCATCATTCAAGACTATACGATTTGAATCAGTTAGCTAATTACTAACTAAATGTGATACGGAAAAACTCACTTTGCGTCAAATGTGATATACCCTCAGCTCCGTAGTTGAGAGCGTAGAGGTAGGGTCTTCCAATGCCGACAGCCTTGGCCCCTAGACAAAGCGCCTTGAAGATATCGGTACCGCGACGAATACCACCATCGATATAAACCTCAAGATGGTCAAAGACCTCTGGACAGACCTTATGAAGCTCTAAAAGAGTAAAAATGGAAGGGGGGGAGCTAGATTATTTGGTTAGCCGCGTGAATAGTAGTGACCGGGGCTCGATCTGGTTGACTTGCGTATCCAAAGACCTCCCACCATGATTCGAGAGAACTATTCCCTGAACTCCATACTTGAGGGCCAACTGAGCATCCGCTGCTGTCTGAATGCCTTTAAGTACTATAGGCAACCCGCCGCACACGCTCTTAAGCCAAGGGATATCTTCCCAGTTGAGGGTTCTATCAACGTACAGGCCCATAAGCCTTCCCATACCACCACCCTTTTTATCGTTATGGCTGACAGCGCCACTAACAGCACTCTTAACTGGGACATCGACTTTCAGTCTTTCATCTGCTTCCCGCTTACCTGCAAGGTGCGCATCGACAGTCACGAAAACAGCCTTTACACCCGCTTCTCTTGCGGTTTTCAGGAGGGCTATGGTTTTTGCACGGTCTGTGTTCACATAAAGTTGCAGGAAGTGGGTTTGCTTTTCTGGACCTAGACCGGCTGATATTATATCTGCAATGGGAGCTGAGGAGTTGGTCGAAATCTGTACGAATCGGTTAACTATAAACCTACGGGTGGCCCGTTTCTCCAGCATTGATACTTACAATGTGAATAATCCCCTCTGCACCAGCACCCTTCGACACCGCCATCTCGCCGTCTTGATGAATCATCTTTGCCATAGCAGTGGGTGCTACAAAGAATGGGGACCTCGTCCTAACCCCCAATATGGTTGTAGTTGTATCTACCTCCTTATTGTTCCTCATCACCCTTGGCCTCAATAACACGCGATCAAATACTTCCTTGTTTAACCTCATAGATATAAGATCTGTTGCTGCAGATGAAAAAAACGCCCATGCCTTTGCACTGCTAGTCTTTTCTGCGACGGCCTCAAAGTCATAAGTGTTAATTAGCGATTCCAATGGTGGCTTGGTGCTGGAGGTATCTTTGAGAGCGCCAAGATCTACTACCACAGTCGCGCTCCGAGGGTCGACGGGACCAAGATTTTTTATACTCGCTGGGGCATCCTTCTCTAGAAGTTCGGGTGTGTGCACAGAGTCGTAGGCTCCCGTGGCGTCGGCGCCGGCATAAGCTAGAAGCGCTGTGGAGTGAATTAGAGCTTCAATCGATCAACGAGGCCAGGGGTATACAAGCTTAATTACCCTGAGGCCCTCCAGGATGTTGCTGCAAGAATTCAGTGACATCATATACAGTCCCACGAACTGTCATCCAACAGTCGCTTTGGGTGCTGTGTTTGGAAACATCATCGGTGGTAATGTTCTTTTTGGTCATGATGGAGGGTTATCAAATTGGTCCACAGCCTGTTTCTGCACACGTGTAGGAATTCAAAGGTATGGAGGAATGTCAATTTAAAGGACTACTCTATTGATGATGCATAGATGTCTTCTGGGCTTCGGTAATGCTTAATTGGTCTTCGGTACGGAACCCGGTTATTGACACGGCGGGGATGCGATGCGGTCGGAAATCGGGGCAATAGGGTACGAAGGAAGGGTTCTAGCTATGCCTTGCATACATGCATGTATATGTGGTTCGGGGGTGGTGGTAGATCGCTCTCTGGACCTCAGTACAGGGCGCCAACTGACTGTTCAATTAGCCCATCCCTGCAATCTAGAGAAATATCCATGGTATTGTAGGGTTACAGAGATAACCGATCACCTACATACCCAATAGCACTTCATATCAGAATAACTCAACAACCGGGAGAGTAATCGAATAATTTTGAGTTTCTTAGATGCTTGGAAAGGATTGACTTATCCTTCTGACCCCGAAGGTCTCGATGTAAGGTTTCTTCACTGGTCAGTTTTAGTTGCTATGAGTCTCACGAAGGCCAGTGATCGGTTATTTTTGTAACCCTACAATACTAGAATTCGAATAGGAGGTATATGTATTGTATATATGTGACTAAACGGCAGAGATTGTCCCAATTAAAGACATTACTTCTCAACTTCGGAAAGTCCAAGTTGTAAAGGTTGAGTTGAGATTCGTTATCGCTCTTGCGAGGCCAACAATGTGCTTTCGGGAATATATTTTATTAATCGTTCCTGTCAGTGAGACGTGCCAGAGCGTTCAATTCAATGGATGGTAACCAAATAGGCATGGATAGCCCTAGCCCTAATGTAGATCCCCCGCAACACGAAGCCTACTTGACCCCCACAACCGGAACCAATCCTTGAATTCACACCACATACTACACGTACCCTTTCGTATCTCGGGCACAAAGTCTCAATATCTGAATATTCGGCCTAATAACCCAACCAGAGCCACGTTACTAGGTGAGGCACCGCTCCTTCGTCCCCCCTTCAGCTCGATATTTCACATTGAGTTCAAATTCTAAAGTTCGATAGATCTCCGCTCGTTCCTAGCTGGTAGAAACATTCCTGGGATAGATTTCTCGGTTCGTTAAATCGCCATAGCGCTTCTTCTTCTGCACAATTCACGATACTCTTTAGAGCCCATGAAATCGTTCTTCAAGGATCAGTTTCTCCGGTGTTTTGTGCATAATGTTTTTGCCCTGGTGCCGTGTCAGACTGGGAATCGGGTCGTTACCATACAGATTTGGTTGTAGTTACTACCGAGCCTTTTCGCCTCCAAAATGTATGTGAAGTATTAGTGCTATCACCATACAACCCGATTCTAGGTCTGACACGGTACTCGGTCAAAAACGTTACTCACAAATCTCAGCATGAGAAATAGTCTTGGGGGAGCGAGTGGCAATCTGCGATCAGTGTCAGAGTAGACTATTGTTTGAATCCAAGGATTGGATGTGAAGGCGATAAGAACCTATTGCACGGATGTTTGTAACGAACTACATACCACCAACCTTACACTGATGTCACAAACTAGGTACTACGACTGATATGCTGCAATCTGCATCATAAAATCGATGAGGAAGAAATTCCTATTCTGGAGGTCACGGAGGCTTTCTAGCTTCAAAACCCCGAGTCTATTTTTGGACAAACTAATGCTCAGTCGGGCGATTCTTGGCAGCCCTTTATATCCTCATCACCATGACCTCATTGTACGTAGAGGATCAAGTTATGAGGCTCGGGAGGCAATATTCATAAACCAAAGGAAAGAAAAACAAGTCGATTGGGTTTGGCGAATGGGAAGTTGGGCAACATTCTCCGGATTTTCTTTGGAATAACAATCTCCTTTAAAACCGCTTATATGAAGTTTTAATTTTGAAGAATCCGCGAGGAGAAGTTCCACCTGGCAGATTAAGCCTCCTGACCGGCTTCGGGGAAGGTATTGGAGATTACACGCGGGAGTTTATTTTCTTTTGATGATTCCAAGGCATCTGCAGAGCTACTATGAGCTTACTGTGCGGGTCTTCCTTACCGCCCGGACATGCCCGTCTCATCAACCTTCGAGGCTTGAAGCTCACGGCATTGATCAATTCGATAAGCATCTCGGGTCTCTATTCTGGACCTTTTGTTCTACGCGCCACTGAGGCCCTAAGGTTATTCGAATGATTTCCGGGGGATGGGCTATGGAAATGGGTTGTCTGGAACGAAACTCTGTGAAAATTAGGCCAAAGATTAGGAACGAGAGGGGCCCATCTGTTTCTATCACGAAAACCTAGGAGGTTTCCCTAGTGACTGATCAGCTATTTACCCTCGGACTGCCAATAAGGAGCTTTATCGCCACAGCTATGGAAAGTTTGCATCGAATGCTTACTATACCCCCTTAGAGCACTGAAATGGGCATACTAGCAGGTAGTTTCTCTACACAAGGTTATTCGATATCGAGGACCTTGAGAGGAAATGTGCCTAATTCTAAAGCCATGACAAACATTCAGGTTTAATCCGTATTTAAACACACCTTCGCCCTCCCCCATAGCCAAGTTCTAAAATCCTGTCTTATCATCTCTACCTGTCGTTTCATCCATTTGTTCATCTTCTCCA